GAGAGAGAGAGAGAGAGAGAGAGAGAGAGAGAGAGAGAGAGAGAGAACACGCATTGAACTCATGTTCTGGGCAGACTCTGATGCTAATAAAAGCTAATGTTTATTCAGTGCTTGCTGTTGCCAGATGCTGTTTTAAGTTCTTTTACATGAATTAACACATTTAATCCTCACACTAACACTATAAAGGAGGAATTATTATTCTCCTGTTTGCCATATTGTTCTCCTGTTTTCCAGGTAAGGCTCAGAAAATAATTTGTGCGCAGACACTCTGTTGAAAGGAGTGAGGTGCAGAGCAGGACACTCACCCCTCACGTCCGACTCTGGAACTCACACACTCACCCGCCCCCTGGGGCCCTCAGCCTATGGCCCTGCCATCTGCCGTGCCAGGGAATTTGTTCAGAAAAATCTAGACTCTCTAATCCAGAAACCGGGGACCAGGCCCCGTCGTGGCTGTTTTAGTGAACTCCATCCACCCAGATAATTATGATGCTTGGCAAATTAGGAGAACCATTGCCCAAGCCACTTCCTGCTTTTAACATTCATAACAAGCAGGGATTAGGACTAGGGATAATTAACACCTTTGGATTGTGTAAGCATTTTAGAGTCAGAAGGATCACATGTTGAAGGATCGATCAACTAGAAAGTATTAGAGCCAGGCTTGAACCCAGCACCCATGCCCACAACCAGCTTCTACAAGGCTGGAAGGCTCTGCCATCCAGAAACATAAGGCAGGGAGGAAAGCGAGCAAGAAGACATGAACCCTGGTGTGGGAGATTCGGAGGGAGGGTGGCAAGGAGGATACGTGTGAGAAAAATCAGACAAACCTGAGCTCCTTGGCTGCTGAGCCCCAGGCCGTGCTGGTACTCAGCTGTGCCCACTGGGCAGCCTCCTGTGTGCGGGCTGCTGGCTCCTCTGAGTCACATGCATTAGACCTATTTTTAGCTCGGCCCTGATGGGACAAGTTTGCCGGGTGCTGCCAAATCACAAGAACAATCACACCCTGGTAACAAGCAGGCTCCTCCTGGCTCACTCAGAGCTGTCTGGGCACATACCCAGCCTCCGCCCAGTTGCCAGTCCCACCTGGACCAGCTCTAGGTGGGGAGAAAGAGCCTGCAGGGGAATCCTGGCATGCACATTGGATCCCTGGTCATAGAATGCAACTGCTGAAGAGGCCCACAAGCAAGAGGTCCAGCGGCAGATTACAACATCCCTGGCTACCAGCTAGTCAGCAGGAAGGTGGGATTCACACCCCAGGTTTTCTGAGTCCTTCCACTATTCCCTGGAGGCAAGCTCTGAGTTTTTTAATGTTGATTTGTATTCTGTCTGCTTCTCATAGCAATGAAAAATCTGCCCCAGCCACACCCATGCCCACAGTAATAAAAAGCCCTTCCTAGGAGGTATTTGCAAATGGAGGCTGCTGCTAGAGGCACTTTCTCTGAGAAGAAACAGTGATCCAGTGAAGCCTGCATGTGAGGGATCCCGGTCACAACTGCCGGTAGCATCTTTATGCTATTGTTTTTACTCACCTGTTAAAGTTTCTCCTTTATTATGTAGTGTTTCATCCTAATTTATCCAAAAAGGAAAAGGGAAGAGAGATGTGTTATTATTATTAATTATAAATATATTAGAGATGATAATTATGGCTGTGTTTGGCATCAGGCTCTGTGTTTTACATTCAGTAGCTCCTTTAACCTCACAGTAACCTCAGGTGGTAGGTAATGTTGGCCCCATTTTACTAATGGAGAAATTAAGTCTCTTAGAGATTTGTAAATCGGTCACTCAAGCAGGCATATCCAGGAAGTGTCATGAGCCAGACTGACAACCCCAAAGTATGTGAGCTTGACCACAGGCATTCTGGCTAGAAAACAGGAGACTGGTTCAGAAAGCAGGGGGCAAAGAAGTGGATAAAGAGATGGTAGATGTGGCTTCTGTACCCAGTCAGTGAATGAGAATTACATCATAGAGTAAAGAATAAGTGAGATACATCTTCTGGAAAAGTAGAGTTGTGAGGCAGAAGCTACAGGGATGCAGGAATCACACAGCGGAGGAAGTAGGAGTTTCTGGCTCACAGAGCAGGTGGCTCCCACCTGGAGGCACCCCAGCTGGAGCCAAGGAGGCACCTTTACAATGGAAGAAGGCTGGACTGGTCCTTCCAGAGCCAAGGTCTATGGTCTGTGAGCGGGCAGGCATCCTGAGGGCAGACACCACACTCAGGGTTTCTCTACCCCAGCACCACACAGGTTTGTGCAGCAGGGAGGAGACATCATTTTCTGAGCATGTCTTCCCCTGGGATGTGGTCGATTTCCTTCCTTGCCTTGGTTGTCTGTTTTGAGAATTAAAGGCATTAATTTAATTAAGGTGCTTATGACCATACTACTTCAACTATAGCTGAAGAATCCAAATTTAAATCACCACTCAGTCAGCTAAATTTTTTTTTTCTCAATTCATGAGTTTTCTTTCACTGTTAGTGATTTCTTTCATGGAGGAGAAACTTTTTAAAAAGATGAAATCCCAGTTGTTGATTCTTTGAAGTATTTCCCAATGAAGCTTGGTTTTTGTTCATGAGCTCTCTGCTTACCCTTGCGTCTTCAAGTTTTCAACCTACTTTCTCATCCAGTAGATTTAATATTTCTGTTTTAATATTTACATCTTTGATCCATTTTGACTATAATGGGCTGGCCAAGTAGCTCAGCAGATTAAAGCACCTGCGAGCGTGGGCCAGGGGATTGATCCCCAAGTCTGCCCCCAGGCATGCTGAGACAGCAATCAAGACTGGGTGTGGTGGCACCCGCCTGCAATGCCAGCTCTTGGGAGGCTGTAAACAGTCTGATCTAGTAGTGAGACCCTAAACACCCTGTAGACCCTTCCCTAAAAAATACCAAAAAAACCCCAAACAAACAAACAACAATAACAACAACAAAAAAACATTTTGACTGTAGTTTACTGAAGGGTGATAGACATGAGTCTAATTTTAGTCTTCAGCATGTGGAAAACCAGTTTTCCCAGCACCATTGACTAAAGAGACTATCTTTTTTCCAGTAAACAAGACCCAATCCAAAAATGGGCATCTGAGATGAATATATACTTCTCACATGAAGAAATGCAAATGGCAAATAAGTATATGAAAAATGTTCAACATCATTGGTCATTTAAGAAATACAAATTAAAGCAACACTGAGATTCCATCTCACCCCAGAAAAAATGGCTATCATCAAGAGGTGAACCAATAACAAATGCTAGAAAGACTGTGGGGAAAAAGGAACCCTTTTCCCTTGTTAGTAGGGGTGCAGAGTGGCACAATCACTGTGGAAATCATTGTGGAGATTCCTTAGAAAACTAAGATTAGAAGCCCATTCAACCCAGCTATTCCCCTTCTTGAAGAATAATTGAAAAGCATCATACCGCAGCAATATATGTGTACCCATGTTTACAGCAGCACAATTTGTCACAGCTAAATGTTGGAAACAACCCAAATGCCCATCAACTAAGGAATGGACAAAAATGATGTATTATTTTTATGCAATGGAGTATTACTCAGCTATAAAAAAGATAAACTTAAGGCTTTTATGAGTAAATGGATACAACTAGGGCCCATACTCATAAGTGAAATAAATCAGATCTTCATGAGCAAACATCATATTGTTTTGTTAGTATAAAGTAAGAACTTGAAAGACTAAATAAAATCTAAAAGGTACAATAGATACTATGAAAGGGAAAAATCTGAAGGGTAGGAACAGCTGGGATGAGGAAAAGGACAAAAGAAAGAAAAAAGAAAGGGAAAAGATATATTTATTTATATATACAGCATAGCTTGGATAATTGTACTGCTGATTTCTACTGGTCTATTGAAAGGAACAGTTAATACTTAAATTTTTTTCTTCTCCGTTTTAGTTTTTTACTTTTTTAAAACCAATTTTGCATGCTTATATCTGGTAATCTAAACAACTAATTTGAAGACAACATTATGCAACATAACAACCATTGTTTAATTCCTACCATTTTGTTTAGTGAAATTGTGTATTATTTTTAATGGAGTTTTATTGTTTACTATTTTTTATTTTCTTAGAAAGTAAAAAATAAAGAGAAAAAAATCACTTCCCAAGGTGAAATAATGGACAAGTGGTGGAATTGGGATTTGAATTGGGAGCAATTCCAGTCCATGTGCTCCCAATTTCTTTGCTCTGGCTGGTGGGAGCAACACAGGTGATCAGTAAAGGGAAGTAGCAGATGATATGTTCTTAAAGCACATTATGCTGAGACCCACCATTTGAGGCAACCAGACCTAAATTTATGGGTCATCTTATAATATAGACACAACACTAAGCTTAGCTCCCACCAAGTTGCAAATTAGCTGAGGGACTCTCAATATCCTATAGACATGATTTGTTTGACCTGATACTGTTGACTGATACAGAACTATGAAGATTTTATTTAATTGCAAAAATTAGGAATTGTGAGATTTCGTTAAAAAAAAAAACTCAGAATATAACAGTTAAGAGTGCTCAGCAGCCTGATTATACTGTTGCCTCTTCCAGTGGCCTTTTGCATTGGCCTACTTCACACATTATGTACATATGACAGTCCATCAAGAACGGGGCAATAGAACACATGCCTCCTAAAATTCTTCTGATTCAATGAATTTTTCTGAAGGGCAAGGACTCAGTCATCTTCCTAGGCTGACTTGCTCCTCTGACAACTTGCACTGCTCCAGCGTGAGACATGGAGAGAATGCAGCTCTGTCGGTATGATCTACCCAGTGCAAAGCACTGTAGGGTGTCCAACTCATGTCTCCCGGGGCTTCCCATCAAAGCTTCTCCTGTTGGACAAGCTGAATGGACTGGTGAGGACATCCATGCAGCTCTCCTTATCCTCCTTGTGATAAGGAAGACCACTGTGTCCCACAACACAGGTGTTTCCCAGGTCTCACTGAGCATGTGAGAAGCTTCTTGCCCAACATTACCTCACTCTTCAGCCAGAAAGGCACATTTGCTCTGTCCCTGGATGTTACAAGAAGTTTCTCCTCTACTACACAATCAAGATCATCTTGTCCAAGTATCAGCAAGCACAGTGCCATTCAACTTGCATAGTTGTGAACAGTGACACTCAGCTAACCTCTGACACTGCCCAAAGCCTCATGTTAAACAGCTCCATGGTTCACTGGCCCTTTGGACACCTCCTCTGTGCCCAGACTTGTGTTCCTGCTGCTTTCTCAAGGGCAAATGAGGCTACTTGGCCTCAAGTACCAGGTGATCTTATTCTATCTTCATGAAGACTCCATTAGGTCAGCACTGACATATCCATTTGACAGGGAGAACTGGGGCCAAGCAAGAGCAACATCTCAGCCAGTGACAGGCAATCTGATCACCAAATTCCACTTTCCTCATAGTCCAGGAAGTAGGAAGACTCTGGTCGGTAGCACAGAAACAAGAACATCAGGAATCCTCCAGGGCAGGAGGTAGAGTGGGAGCGGTCCTGTGTGATGGAAGGTCAGGGAGGCTCAATGAGAAACTGGGAAACTGGACCAGACCCTTGAGAAGTGGGGCGGCTGGCATGGCGGTTAGCACTGCCTTAACAGGGAATTCGTGATTCATGATTAACTGAGCAGCCAACAAGGAAGCCGTGGAGTTCTTATTTATTAAAATTGTTATCATTTGATTGATTTTTAACCCTTCATGCTCAGAATCGCATTAGTCATGCTGTGTGTGCATATTAGACCAACTGGTAGGGGTGTGTTGATTAGGAATGAAGGCAGGGTGATTTAATGTTCTATATTTATAATATCTACGTACAAGGAAAAAAATCTGTTTTAGTCAATTGCCTATACTCAGGAATTAGCTGGAGGCAACCACACACAGGATCCCATACCTCACCTGCCCCAGCAAGCCCAGCATCATCTCAGTTTCTCTCTTCTGCCCCCGATGAGCTCAGGGAAGTGTGTAGCCTGGCCATGTTCATGCCCAGTTTGAAAGTCATGCTTCTGTGTAATTTCTGTGTGACTTCAAACAGGGAAACTGCTCCTAGCTCCCCTCACAGAGATGACATAAGGACGAAGGCACTGGGTGAGGGGTAGCAAAGTGCTTATACCTCAGCTCTGCTGAAGAGGGCAGAAGAGTGTGAGACATGGTCATTTAGAGATCAAGTCATGGTTCCTGGTCCCCTAGAGCTCAAAGGCCCCATGGTTCTCCCACCTGTGTGCGGAATCTGAACAGCCAACCCCTACCTGTGAGCCAGTCTCAGGTGGTCCATTCTTTGGTGGGCTTGCTGCCCTACGTGATTCATGCACTCTGAGGTTGCAGAACCCCTTCCCAGCAGTTAGCAGTGGCCACAGTTTCTGGGCATTGTCCACCTCTCCTTTCATTGGTCAGCTATTTGTTGAGAGTATTTCCGTGATAGGCACTGTGGAAAGAACTTTCTGGAGTTTTGCTACTCTTTCTATTGATACATATTTGCATGACATAATAATTATACTTGTTTTGTAGAGTTGGTACATGTTTATGTTATATCTTTATTGTCTGTACCCTTCTGTCCCCACCATGATTCCTTCTTCCCCAGATCCCCTGGTCACCTTCACAGTCTTTCTCTATATTTTCCACTATCTCCCTTTCATTCCTTCTTTAAATTATTTGTAGTTTGGATTTCTCAAATGAGAAACCATATGATATCTAGCGAGCATTACGTCTACAGACCCATCTATTTTCCTATAAATGATTCAAACTTGTTCTTCACTACTTCTGGGTAGTACTCACTGTGCATAAACACCACATTTCTTTATCCCTTCATCTGCTGATAGTCTGCTTCCATAATTTAACTATTATGAATACAGGTGTGCATGTGTTTGTGCAGAGCAATAACTTTAGCTCTTTTCGGAAGATACCCAGAAGTGTAAATAGGTCAAGTGTATCTTGTGTTTTTATTGTGTTGAGGAATCTCTATTGTGTTTTGAGTTCTTAATGATAACCATTCTTACTGAGTAAACTGTAATATCAGTATTATTTTGCTTTTCATAGAAATTAACCTAGTGAAGGAAGTCAAAGACCTCTATGACAAAACCTATAACATTCTGGAAAAAAAAAGACTGAAGAGAACATATGAATTTAGTTTTAAGGTTGTTGTTTTTTTTTAAATTTTGTGTATTTGGTATAGGATCTCACTATGCAGCTCAGACTTGTAGTGATCCTCCTGTTTTAGCTTCCCCATTGCTGGGATTATAAACAGGCACCACCATGACTGGTCTCAGAGACTGGCTGGGCCCACCAGGGGCGGTATGGGGGATCAAACCTGGGTCCTTATGATTGCCTAGGCAGGTGCTTAGACCACTGGGCTATCCCTGCAGCCCTTGTTTTACCTATTTTCTATAAAATTAAAAAAAATAAAATGGAAAGACATCCTCTGTTCTTGGACAGGCAAGACCAATGTTGTCAACATGGCCATGTTACCAAGAATGATACATAAATCTAATGCAACCCCAATCAAAATACCAATGACATTATTCCCAGAACTATAAAAATGTAATCCTAAAATTTATATGGAATGAGAAGAGATCTAGACGGGGCTGGTGAGATGGCTCAGTGGTCTAAAGCACCTACTTAGAACAAGCTTAGCAAGCACAGGGACCGCAGTTCAATCCTTCAGCACCACATGCCAGCCAGCCCCGCCCCCTGGTGGGCTGAGTGGCCACACACACACACACACACACACACACACACATAAATAAATAAATAAAATTAAAAAAAAGAGAGAGAGAAGAGATCTAGAATAACAAAAGCAATCTCCAGTAACAAAACAAAGCAGGAGGCATCTCAATCCCATATTTCAAGTCATATTACAAAGCTATCATAATAAAAATAACATCGTAATGTCACAAAAATAGAAATATTGACCACTGGGATAGGATAGAGCGCAGGGTAGAAGGTGCAGAGACCACCCGGTGTTCCTTCAGCTGTCTGATTTTTTTTTTTTTTTTTTTTTTTCGGAACTGGGGACTGAACTCAGGCCCTTGTGCTTGCCAGGGAAGCACTTATTCTACTGAGCCATCTCCTCAGCCCCAAATGTCACGGCCTGATTTCTTACAAAAGGGCTAAAAACATGTACTGGAGAAAAGATAGCCTGTTTAAGAAATGATGCTGGAAAAACTAGTTAGCACATTAGGAAAAATGAGCCTATACCCATCTCTCTCACCCTGCATTAGAGTTAAGTCAAACTGGATCAAAAATCTAAATATAGGAATAGAAACAGAGTCTACTAGAAAACAAATTAGGTAAAACTCTTGAAGACATATGTATAAGCGAGGACTTTTTAAATAGAACTTCAATTGCATAAGCATCAACAAATGGGATCATATAAAGTTAAAAATCCTTCTTCACAACTAAGTAAACAACCAAGAAAATGAAGGAACAATCTACAGAATAGGAAAAAATTACTAAGCACTCCTAGGACATACAGCTACTATCCAGAATATATAAAGAACTAAAATAAAAAAAAAATAGACGCTCCCTCAAAAAAGCTCCAATCAAAAAATGGGCCAGTGAAATGAATAGACACTTTTCCAAAGAAGTACAAATGGTAAATAAGTACATAAAAATACTCAGTTTAAATGGTTTATTCATTTACTTCTCTCAATAGTTGCAATTAACTTTAGTTTTCCAGGGAGAGCTGAGGAAAGTATCCATTTAGCATGATCGGGGATGTTAAGCATCACCATGAAAGCCCATAAAATGTGCCCTGGGAATCCCAAGGAAAAAGCACTCCAGTTAAGAGAGGGAGAGTGAGGAAGACTCTAAAATTACCCAGATTGAAAGTTATCTCACGTGACAGTGTAGTTTTAGATGCTTTCCTATAGAATAGGCAAGTCACTGCCTCACAAAGAAGCCAGTGGCTTACAAGGTCAAAAATGTTAGTGAGCTAGTCTGTGGAGAGATTATATGTCGATAAGCACTTTTAATGACAGATACATATCTTGGGGAAAAAAATCTACAGCTCAACAAAGATATTCTTGTGCACTGAGAAGGAAGTATTGTTTTTTGCTTTTTGATTAGGAAGGAATATGAAGCATTTAAAAATGTGCTATTCAGTTATTTGAATTTGTGAAATTCATTTTCTATAAAGAAAACTAAGTATGGCTTTTGTCGTTACAGATCTATGAATGTGACCTCTCTCAGTGGACAAGAATTACAAGAGAAAAAGAATAGTCTACTTCAGCAAAGCTGTGGTGAAATAGACATTCTCAGAAACCTGTCGTTGGTGGGAGTGTAAATCACTGCTTTTTCTGAAGATTATTGAACAATTATTTTTTGTTTATTTGTTTTTAAATTCCTGAGGCCTTTATTTTATTTTATTTATTTTATTTTATTTGTAGCCAGCTCAGCCCAGGCTGGGAGTGGGGCTGGCATGACATGTGGTGCCGGAAATCGAACCATGGTCCCTGGGCCTGCCTAAGCTTGCCTAAGCAGGTGCTTTAGACCACTGAGCTCTCCCACCGGTCCCCTGAACAATGTTAATGAGCTTTACAATCACCATTGTACAAAACTCTACTAATGAAATAGCTGGAGACTGGGATAGAGATTTATAACTCAATATGCTGATCCTCACAGTGTACTTTGTAAGGCCATTACCTCAGAAGCCATTTAACTACCCTACAACAGAAGTTGGTTAGATAAACTATGGCAAACTTCATGATAGAGCTGAAATAAAACATAAGCTCTATCAGAACAGGTGTCTTCATCTCTCGTGTTCATCACCATAACCCCAGCACTTGGTTCACAGCTGACATTTGGCAAACATTTATTGAAGGGGCGTAACATCATAGTCAGTGCTTCTAGCTGGACCTCTTGTCCCTCAATCTACAATTGTAACAACTGTGCCTCGTATACACAATGCAAAATGAAGGTGAATGTAGAATTTTTCATAGGATTGTGTATACATCAGACCATTAACAGACAAGACAGCCTGAAGACAGAAGCATTAAATACATGTTAGCAGCCATAGTTCATAGAAGTTTTAGGAGAATAAGTTCATAGTAAGACACAACATGTCAACTATGCTTAAAGAGATTCACATTATTCAATAAAATAGTAAAATATATATTGTTTAGATTTAAAATACCAAAGGGAAACTTCCTGCATGTGCTGGCTTTGGAAACACCATGATTTCCACGAGTCTCAGAGAGCCTTGTGGCTAAAGACTGAGTTTAATGCATTTGTGCTTGCTCTCCACATTCACAATCCAGGGAGAAATCAAAGGAATTCAACCAGTTCTAGGGGAAAAAAGACTTGTGCTTCTGGAAGCAATTATTGGAATGGAAAACAGCAGGTCTTTGAAAACTTTATTTACATCAAGCCACATGGTTAGTGTTGATTCTTGATCTTTGCTTGCTGATAAGAGGCCTCAAAAGTGAGTTTTAGCCATTGGCATGTTTCTAGCATTTGTAGAGAACATCTGTGAGCCTCAGGGAATGCTTTGCCATTTTCTACTTCATGGTTTTCCTTTAAGCAACCCTGTGGTTCTACATAGGTCTTAAGTTAGGGTCACTTTTCCAGAACTTCACCCAGCAATTGTCACTTAGATCTTGCCAATCTAAAGATTCCAAATGGCAAGTTGTATTTTCAAAGCTGAATATGAAACTTCTCTGTGCCGGATGCAGCCTACCGTGATCTGTGCATAAGAGCAGTGAAGATTGTTAGGGGTAACTGCTCCAGACAGACTTTGAGTTATGAATTGTTTCCGCAGCCACCCAAAGGCCTGGGAGCCCATCGGCAGGTCAGCAGTCTGTGACTCTGAACCCACAGCAGTATTGTAAGACTGGTGCCTAAAACTCCTGTGCTCCAAACGTGGACTTATGGAGTTGGGGACTGAGAGTGAGGCTAGTCTTGTACATGAAATTCAAATATCAATTATTGAAATTGAAGAGGAAAGGCCATGAGCTTAAAGGACTCCTTAGTGATAGTACACATTTGGAGGGTTGTCTAACCACAATTTTTTTTTACTGTTTTAAAATGCTTAAGAATTCAAGACAGGGATGTTTGGAGAGAAGACATGTTAGATGAAATGCAGACCCCCAGATCCCAGGCCAAGAACTTCATTCATATTCAATGAATCTGGTGCAGGTATAGTTGATTGCATTTTTAATGAGTCCCTGGTGAAAACACTAATCTAGGAAGATGTCCCTTTAGGAAATAAATGCTCTTTTGTTTGAGAAATTACTTTAATTGGCTTTCAGAAGCCATGCAAAGGTAGATGACATCAGCTTAATGAAAAGGAGAAAACAATGAGATTTTGTATTTTTTTATTTTACAATATAACAGGACTTGCTGCTTTTCCCATGGGCAGTCCTTGTCAGAATCTTGAGTCCTTGAGTTAGGGACAGAAAAGAACCTAAGTCCGGCTACATGCAAGCAGGCTACAGCACAGTGAAGAGACAATGAGTCACTGCCTTCAGGGGCACATAATGAATACCACTGACATTCTGTCTGACATTTCATTTTCATTGTTTCCTCTCTTAAGATGTGACTTCCCTTCCTCATTACCAATCCTTTAGTAAAATACTCTTTAGACAAAAACACCACGTTGGCTGAATTTTGAGGGAGGAAGGAGAAATTTGTATGCTGGACTATTCATTAAGACACACTAGGCACAATTGGACAAGCCCTGATGCATAGGCTGAGACACTTGGAAGTGGGAGAGGTAGAGAGGCAACGTTCACAGGCCTGTCTTCAGAAACTTGAGTGACAACCCCTCGGCAACTTCTGGGAAGTCTTGGGATATCATTATATACAATGAAATATTCCTGTTTATGTGTACAATTTAATCAGTTTTGGCAGGTGTGCATACCTATATGATCACATTCAGTAAAGATATCTCTATCACCTCAAAAGTTTCCTTTGTCTATTCAGTGCAACTATCTGAAATACCTTAATCACAACCAACTTTTGCCACTGTACGTTACATCTGTCTCTGTTAGTTTCAAATAAAGAGAATTATACATTACATATACATTTTCAATAATTATCTTTTAGATTTCTCGGGTGGCTGCAATTTTTAGTACGTTAATTGGTTGGCCAATGCAGCTGTTACTTCTGATGTGTCGGCTTCAATGCCTGAAGAAACCCTCAGCAGATTAGGAGAGCATGCTCCTGGATACATCTGGGAGGGTTATGGAACTGTGGCTTTGGGCGCTGTAGACAGACATCAGTTCATTCCTCCCTGATGCTCTCCCCTCCTCCACTCTCTGACTGCTATGATCTATGGAACTTTGTTCTCCATATCCTTCTGCTGTGATTTTCTGCCTCAGAGTCAGCTGACTATGGACTGAATTCTCCAAACTATGAGCTGAAGTAAACCTTTTCTCCTATGAACTGTGACTGTCATGGATTGTGTTCACCAACAAGAAAGTTGACCAATAAACAAAATTGGTCCTAGAAGAGAGGTTATCACTGACTAGGTAATTTAAAGACTTCGGAAGTGGCTTACAGGAGAATTTTGGAAGGGTTTGGAGAAGTGGGCTAGAGAAACCCCAGAATGTTGTAAGCAGAATTTCATGGGTGATTCTGGTTGGAGCTCAGTATACCAGGAAGCTGATGGGAATGAAGACAGTAAAACCCAAGAGATTTCAGTTGACAACAAGGACCTCACTGGCCATTAGACTAGAGGGTATGTGTGTTATACGCTGGCAGAAAAGCTGTCTACATTTTGCCTTTCTCCTGAGACTTTGCAAAAGACTGTGATCAACCATTTACCAGTTATTTAAATATGTAGTGACTGGGGCCGGGGATATAGCTCAGTAGAATAAGCACTTGCCTGGCACATGCAAGGGCCTGAGTTCAATCCCCAGTTCTGCCAATAAATAAATAAATAAATAAATAGTGAGCAAAATTGCATATGTTTTGCTAATTTTTATAAGATAATATAGTAAGAAATATAACAATGACAATTTTATCAAATTTATTCAATACAAAAATTGGCATGTTTGAAATGACACCTGCTTAAGTGATGCTCAGAATAGCAAAACATAAATAAACACACTGCCTGAGTGATGTTCAGGGTAAACTGTAACTGTGGTTAAAGAAAACAGACTAAAGACCTGGCTAGGGAAATTTCAAGATAGTCTAACATTTGCACTGTGGCATAAGTACTGTTGGCTGCTTTTAGCTAGATTTAGAGTGAGAATTAAGGGTAAAGGTCAAAGCAGAAAATTTTGACATATTGCAAGAAGGAATCATGTGTAAAGTTGGGGCAAAGGAAGTCTGGAAGCTAACATGATTAGCACCCTTAAAAAGAAACCAACTAATTTACACAGGCAACAAGAAGGAAGATGCCCCAAAGACACACAAGAATCACCAATACTCCACCCATGGCAGGCTCAAGAGTGAAAATTATTCATCTTTTATTTGCAAAGAAAGTCCCTTCAGCATCCTGCTCAAGGGGGGTCTCTTAGGGCATTGATTCTGTGATATTCATTTCACTATGCTCAGTCATGCAAGCACTCAGATGCTGCTGTGGCCATATTCCAAGGGGACCAGGCAGCTGCTTCTGCTGATAGCAGACCTGGGCATTATCCTTGTGGTTCTGGTTTTACTGCTATGCAGAATACAAGGGTTGTGGGGTCAAGGAGGCTTCCAAGCAGATTTCAAAGGAAAATATGGGAGACCGTACAAGGAGCTCTGGAGACAGCAGTGAAGAAAGCTGTGGAAATATAGCCAAACATGCAATGGAACCCCCCATATAGTCATGGATGCCATGAATATGAAATGTCATCCAAGAAATGCTGTAGGCTGTGAATGGACACAGCCCAAGAAAGAGAGGACTTGTGGGTTGGAACTGGCAAGGCCACAAGATAGACACCATCTGTGCCTTTAGAACTCACATTTTACTTTTGTTATTGCTTGGATCCAGCTGTTGTCCACAAGCCTCATGTAGTCATAGGTAGGGCTTTTTCAAAGGTTGCTGGATATAGGGTATGTGATGCTGGGATTGACTCACAGCGCAATCCTAGGATCAAGGGCACTAGGATGAGGAGTGTGAATGCTACCCACCCTACGTAGCCTGGATAAGCTATCAGGGAAAGAAAGCCGTGACTGTTTCTCATTGCTTTGTTACTTTCAGTCTGGCGCAAACCATTTTTCTTCTGTGATGCCTGTCTGCTGTGCCACCTTGCCTTGAAGCCAGCTGATTATGAGCTGAAGCCTCTATAAACATTGAGCTAAATAAATTTTTTACATTAACTTTGAGTGTCAGATATTTTGTCTCAACAATAAAAATAACTAAGAATTTGATGCTAGAGAAATGAGGTCATT